ATTCGATTCTATCTATATTATATTCGAGTACGATATAATATTACTTAATATAAAATATTTTATAAAATATATTATATCTTTTCGGCTAGTACTCTCTCTATAAAAGAAGAAGTAAGAGAAGAAACTATAATTGAAAAGCTTACTTTCTTAATATTTAAGAGTTGAAATTTTAAATAACTTCTACGCTAAGAGACTAGTAATTAATCAAATTCTCGAATTCTACGATTTCTAGTCTAAAATATATCTTATTTCTTTATTTTCGTTCTAAATACGAGTATATTTAAAAGAGAAAGTATTATAAGACTAAATCTCGAGTATTAACTTTATTAATTTATTCTATTTAATTTCTTTAACGTTATATAATAAATAATAATAAAATAAATTTATAAAGTTATAGAGCTAATTATATAATTTTAAATAAAGTAGCGAAGATAAAATTTAATAAAGTATTCGTAAAGATATATTAAAAACTAAGATTTTTATTTAAATTATTAAGTTTACGAGAAGAGTCTCTTCGATAGAAGTCTTCGAAGAGTTCTCGAAGAGCCTTCGAAGGGTTAGAGAGGTTTTAGAAGATCTCTCTCTAAGTATATTAACTATTCTCTTAATTCTTAGAATTAAATCTCTTAAAATTTTTTAAACTCTTTAAAGCTCTTTAAGAGCTTTTTAAGAGCTCTTTATCGAAGAGGCTATTAAAGTAAGCTTAAGATTAATTAAATATAATTAAAATAATTAAATTTTAAGTTTACTTTAATAGCTCTTTCGATAAAAAATCTTAAAAAATTTTTTAAAAATTTTTAAAAAAAATAAAAAATTTTTAAAAAATTTTTTTAAAATTTATAAAATAAAAAAAAATATTTATTTATTTTTTTATAAAAAAAAAAAAATATTTTTTTTTTTTTTTAAAAAAAAAAAAAAAAAAAAAAAAAAAAAAAAAAAAAAAAAAAAAATAATTTTATAAAAAAAAAAAAATATTTTTATTTTTTAATTTTTTTTTTTTTTTTTTTTTTTTTTTTTTTTTAATTAATTAATTATTTTTTAAAAAAAAAAAAAAAAAAAAAAAAAAAAAAAAAAAAAAAAAAAAAAAAAAAAAAAAAAAAAAAAAAAAAAAAAAAAAAAAAAAATAAAAAAAAAAAAAAAAAATAAAAAAAAAAAAAAAATTAATTTTTTTTTTTTATAATTTTTAAATTTTTTTTAATTTTTTTTTTAATTATTAAAAAAAAAAAAAAAAATAATTTTTTTTTTTTTTTTTTTTATTAAAAAAAATAAAAAAAAAAAAAAAAAAAAAAAAAATAAATTTATTTTAAAAAAATTAAAAAAAAATTTAAATAATATTTTAATTATTATTTTTTTTTTATTAAAATTAAAAAATAAAAAAAAAAATAAATTATTATATTTATTTAATATTTATTTTTTTTTTTTTTTTTTTTTTTTTTTAAAATTTTAAAAATAAAAAAATAAAAATTTTTTTTTTTTTTAATATATTTTAATAATTTAAATTTTTTTAAAATTTTATATTTAAATATAAAAAAAAAAAAATATAATTTTTTTTTTTTTTTTTAAATATATAAAAAAAAAAAAAAAAAAAAAAAAAAAAAAAAAAAAAAAAAAAAAAAAAAAAAAAAATAAAAAAAAAAAAAAAAAAAAATAAAAAAAATAAATTTTATAATTATAATTTTTTTTTTTTTTTTTTTTTTTTTTTTTTTTTTTTAAAAAAAAAAAAAAAAAAATAATTTATAATAAAATTAATTTAATTAAAAAAAATTAATTTTAAAAAAAAAAAAAAAAAAAAAAAAGAAAAAAAAAAAAAAAAAAAAAAAAAAAAAAAAGATCCGTGAAGATACCGTGGTGACAGCACATTGTTTACTCTAATAGGCATTGATCTTCAAGTGCTCATTATCATTAGCATCTCGATATTGGGAAAGAGCATGTCATTTTTGCTCCCTGCTTTCTTCATTGTTGCTAAAAGGTTCTGTCCCTAGAAAGTCGAGGATGGATGGACTTGCCTTTACCTGTGATTCTATACCAACATTTTCACTCAGTGTTGAAGAGTGAAAGCCCTCCATTGGTCCTATCCAACCCATAGCACATCACTACCCAGTGCTCTCCACGCCAGCAGGCCCTTTTATGAATAGCTTGGCGCTCATTGGAACCGAGAATGAAGGCAGCGGGCCATCATGGCCATCATAACCAAGGTTCTGAATGCGCTTCCGTGTCGGCCAACTCGATTTGGAAACCACGGTAATCACCTCCCATGACTTTTCGCCCCGGCAGGCATCCATTCCCTCTTCATAGCCACGACGTCGGCAGCTTGCCTACCACCTCGGCCATTTGAGTGGGCGTCGTGCACCCCCAATGACATCTGTGAGTCTCGTTACAATACAACCAGCGAGCGATGGTGGCCCATGCTTGAAACTTATGTTCTTATGAGGAAGAAGCACGAGCCACTCGAACCGAATCTGATGCGCGATATGATTCTCCCCTTCAGCAATGCAGAGATACAATTACGCAGATGATGAAGGATTCTCTCTGGTGGCCCAGGACAAATTGGACTAACTTTCCATTAAGGGAATCTACTTGCAGTGTTTCTCTCTAGTTCTTTGTGTTTAGAACCCAAAATCAAGCACACTACCCTCAGTATCGTGCATGGTGTTCGTGTGGCATTGTTGTAAAATGTCGTCTCACTAACAATTCACAAGAATCGATGGAGTACCGTCATACTATACCGTCCATACTACCGTCCATACTACCGTCCATACTACCGTCCATACTACCGTAGCACTGGGAGGCCATTGCGCTGATGGATTCTGCAGACTGAAGTGTGAGCCTCTGCGATGCCGCGCCACGGCTAATCCCTTTTCCCATCACGGATAGCCTCAGCAACCCCACAAATGGTTAATTTGCCTAGTTAATCACATGCCGAGTGGCCCATCATGCGTCTTATATCTAAGCCAAAACCGAACTGTTTTCGAACATTGCAGAAGCTCGTTTTCGGTTTCCATTCTTGCGTGGATCCTGCACCTACGACTCCGGTGACAGTGAGATCTCAGCCAATTCGATCATCTGATGCACAGGATTAGACGGAACTACCTACTCGGTTCCTCGTCGTGGAGAGTCAGGATCAACCATCTCCATCATTTGACTCCTAATCCTAATTCTGAATTTACTTTATCGATACTTCGCAATCAAGGCATTGCGTCCCTGAGTGGTCCAGCTACCTGAGTAGCAGCTTCTTCTCTCCGCCACTAGCTATTGCAGGAGTTTTAAGTCTCCGGCCGCCGCAATGCGGGGGTCATCAAAGCATCACTCAACAAGGCATAGCGAGGTTTGGCCCTTTTTCGACTTCATACCGTATGCATTTGCCAGCCGTCTTCCTAAGCTGCCTAGCGAACCCAGTCTTATTAAGGCACCTTGTCGTCAGTACTTCCCGGACTTCGAGACAATACAGTACTCGTAGCGCAGGTGGGATGTCAGTGCGTGCGATCGATGGTCACCGGAAAGAGACCGTTGTGGTTGGCTCGCATCAGTATCCAAGCTTTGTCATGCATGCGCCTCCCCCGCCGGTGGCTTCTTTTTGCGAACCCGTTCTTATTGAAATTGGAATTTTCCCATGCATATCACCATCAACTTCTCCCAATCGGCTCTTCGGTACGTGGCGCATCCCGCTGTGACCTTCACTAGCTGGGATATGTCAAGCGGATGGATGGACCCTTGACTGACTGAGTAAACTCCCTCTGATAATACCCAATCATTCTTCAGATCGAAGCAGTCAAGACCAATCAAGATCTTCTCTCCCTAAATCTACCTATTCTTCTGTCCACCGTTGTTCGCCTGTTATTACCATTTACATATCGTAGATCCTTTTAGATCATGTTGCTGCAGGGGTCAGAACCTATTCCGTTCAACTCATCGATGGTTCACGACTCCACGAAGGACTCGACTCATGCCAGATGCATGAAAAAGACTGATATGCGTTAAGAACATTCTCAGTTTCAGTCAACTACCTAGTCCTTTCACACGACGAACCACGCAGCGCAGAGTAAAGCAGTCCTGTTCGCTGGCCGCTGCATCATTCTTTGCGGAGCGCCAAGATGCATACGGATAGTTTCTATTCATAGCGTCCGGTGTACCTCATGCATGCACGTTCCTGGATTGTGGAGACGCCACGCTTTCACAGGATAGGTAGAAACGGTTTCAATCTCTCCTTGACCTCTTGCGACGTTAAGCTTCTGACAAGCTTGTGGGACACGATTTGTGAAGCATTGCCCTCATCGTTATTGGCGGAGAGGTTCTCCCAACAGCGTCGTATGACGATATGATGCAGGCCTCGTCACTTGGCATGAGTTCCCCCACAGCAGTTCACTTCGCGGCTCTCGGCGCCCTTAGATGCTTAGACGTCCTACCTACTCCAGGATAAAGAATGATTTCTATCGTCGATATCGAACAATTTATTACCATAACAGCGTCTTCCGTTGGTTGAATGCATCCTTGGAGTCTCTCGATCGATTGCTGTCGGCAAGAGGAGCACCGCCCCCTCTGCTTAAACAATCAAATTACGGCACCAAGGCCGAAAAGTCTTGCATGCATAAGCTCGGCTCTGTGTCCCAGGCGGAATCCCCTTCTCCTCTTCGAGCGCAAACGGACAGGCGAACATGGGCACCCTTGACCATGGACCTGGACCGGACGCTCACAAGATCGAGCGCCTGAGGTTGTGGCTTGCTGCAACATCGCATAGGAAGGGTCTCCGATGTGCTGATCTGCGTCATCGCACATGAGATTTTCTCATCCTCTGCTTGCTCCTCTCTTCTTCCTACATCTGGTTGGTCCCGAGCTTGCCGGAAATCTATAACAAGGCCATTTCCCTCCATGCTCTATCCCCCCAATCATCCTCTATATCGATCAACAAAGCCTTCACATCAACAAGAGACTCATTCACCAAACGTCCATAACCCTCAAAATCTTCAAGCCTTCCCACCACCACCAAAATGCAGCCCAAAACCATGCTCAGCGTCCTCTCCATCGCCATCGCCGCGTCCGCCCGTCCCAGTCCCCAAACCTCGACCTCGTCCTGCACTGCGAACCAGCAGGAAGGATGCTGCTCCAGCATCGCCGCCAAACGGCACCGGCTTCGGCTGCATCTTTTCAAGTACGGTTTATGAATTCCCCGCCACGTGAGAAATGGTCCCAGCTGACTGGATTGATCTGAGCAGCTTTGAACCCCCTCGACCCAACGTGCACCTCTGGTCAGACGTTGGCGTGCTGTAATGCTCCTCAGGTTGGTGATGTGTTTTTGTCGTTGTTGAGAATGTAGTATTGTGGCTGACCTTGTTCTCCCAGACGGGACTCGTTAATATCGAGTGCATCCCAATCACCATTACTCTATAGACGAATGTTGCTCAAATATGCACCTTTTTGTGCTTGCCAGTATAAGGGCAGTGTTTGTGGACAGACACGGGCAGGATCTTTGGAGCTCTAGCCCAAAAAAAGCATCTTCTGGTGGCGTTCTTAAAGTGTTCTATTATACATAGAGCTTAGTTCAGGCAATGTGATTAATTTTTAATTGCCGCTGAGATGTTGATCCATCAACTCCCGTCTCATATCCCTTGTGACGGTAACCGGTCTATCATCTTGTTTCGATCGATATCTTGCAGAGAAACCGTTGTTCGCTTTCCCAAAGTAGACCCACGCACTTTACGACCCCAACCGCAATGGTTCCCCAGCATCGAACTCTCGCATCACTCGAGCATAACAACCCCTCTCCCTCCAAGCCATCGCATTCGCCTCTCTCCCGATGCTGCAATGCTGCCACCAGCCGTCACTCGTTCGTCCACGCTTCCACGCAGACCTGTTCTGCAACATGTAGCGCGGGGACCGAGCGTGCGAGTACGATGGCTAACCCAGTGGAAAGGTGACTGACTGGTTGCTAAACCCAGGTACGAAGTGCGCGGATCTTGCTGCCGGTGTGGCGTTTAGACGCTTTGGAGCCCGGCTTGATGGGAGGGGGGAGGACTGACTGGCGGAGAGTATTTTGGTGGAGGTATGAGTGGTCATGGAGTTTGCTTGCGTTGCGCAACGGTGAAGATTTTGGTTGGGGATTAGAGAGGGCTGGATTTGGCTCCTGGCTCCGTGGGCGGCGTTCACGCGTCTCTCACGTCAGTGGTTTGCATCGTTCTCCTTGTCCCCTCGTTTACGTACTGGCTCTGTGCGTCGTCTTGCGACCTTAAGAGAGTTGCTGACCTGATCGATGGTTATAGTTGTCGGCAAACACATCAGGTGGTTCGCTCCGCACGATGCTAAGACTGGTGCTGCCGGCGGGTTCGGTATAGACTATACCGAAGTCATCTCCATGGATTATGCATTTGTCGAGGCGACGCCAGATGCGGGCGCCACGGATCCAGTTGCTGAGTTGATGTATAAGACGACATCGGTTGGGAGTATCTAGAACAGACTGAGACGGTGCAACAAAGTTTGCGAATAACAGACGGGCAACAGACTCTCATCTATGATCGGCATAGCGGAAAACTCGATGCCGCCAGGAGTTGAAAGTCAAATCTTGGGTAATCCTCGACTCATCGCTGCACGCGGCAACCATCTTGGACCGAAGACTTCACCAACCAGCTCGTACAGCTTTTCGATCGTGGATGAAAGATAGCACTGGCCCTTCTCTCCAAAACATTATGGCCGAGAAGGCACCATGCTTCAGCGTCACGGACAGCCATATCTCAAATATAGACCTACCACGGAAACAGTCTTGCCAGCTGGCTCCGACATTAGCAAGTGCAGCGCCGGCTGACTTACTTCCATCACTTCCTTTCGTTGCCACCGCTCGAAATTGCTCATCGAGCTCTACCTCGGGGAATGCTTCGGTAATAACGAGGGTCGGTGCCAAGATTGCAACATCTCTCGAGGTGCCGGTGTCAGCGCTGTGCTGTGCTGTGTTGCTCTTCAGTATCCGCATCTGGCTGATTGGCGGAGGGTGTCGGAGATGTGAAGAAACCGATTGCGACCTCGCTTTCCTTTTATGTGCGAGCTTGATGGAGTTGTAACAGCTAAAGTGCATGTATTGTTATGTTATGGCGGTTCCGGTCTTTGGCGATATTAGATGCGTGTCTTACGATCGCCTCTCGAGCTGGCTCTGTGTACCTGGACGTCAGGTCAAGAGGTGTGTTACAGTGTTCGGGAGTTCAGTGAGGGTTGATATTGACTACTCAGGTGTTGATTGCGATTGCTCTTACTGGAGGTAGTATCGGTCCTCAATGCAATTCCTCTGAACGCAAGAGACTTGTTGCTTGCCAATCTACAACTCTTCTCTGAGCTTGGATTGTGTGGGGATAGGTCGCCCCGGCCTCGTAATGTCTCACTGTAATTCAACGGCACCAAGCAGCGGACTTTTTTTGGGGGAAGGGGGAGGGGGGTTTACCATTTTTTGGGCAAATTCGCTAATATTGTTTGCAACTTCGTTTACTGCCTACTGGCCAATGGAGGGATCTACAGCCGATCCTTAGCGCGACACAAATCCCTACACTGCCGGTCTCTCCGCCTCTCCTCGCTGTATCATTCCCTTTTATGCCATGTTTCTCGACGAATAATGGCCATCAGCGTCCCTGAATGAATGAATTCAACAGATGCTAGCCCATGGTTCCACGCATCACGGTAATCAAGCACTGTCCCAAGTTGACACAGTAGTCTGAAAATCGAGATCACAAGATATCTCGTTCCCTTGAAGCAACGTCTTGGGATCGAAATGATGGGCCATAAACAGCTCGTGGAGGACTCGCAGCCTCGTTCTGATTCGCGAGGAAAACAGCGGAAGAGGCTAGTAGGAGACTAGACTATCACAAGAGAACAATTCGATGATATGGCAACCTGGGCACATGGGAAAGCGAGTACCAGAATGCATTTGTTTCAGCGCACTTCGGGTATTGATCTTAGAAATCGGATATCTGCGCATTTTTCTGGAGTCGGACCGATCCGGCAGTCTCGGAGTCTTTTTTATTCCGTTGCTCGTCATCCTAGACATTTCTACAGACTTAGTATGATGTCCGACATCGTAGGGTGCGGCTTGGACGGTTTGACACTGGCGTGACGTATATTCAGTTTATCATAACACGTCCTAAAAAGATTGCTAGAAACCCTGCCGGGAGGAGCCACCTAGATTCATCCGTCATTAAAAGTAATGCCATGAATGCAAGGATATCCTGGCAGCTAGGTTAGCCAGCGGATCAAGAGCTACAGGTCAGTATCTTCGAAGAAGCGTGAAAGCCTTCTGATCGCCGATGATCTTCTAAGATTATGAGCAACTGGACCAACATAACACCATAGCTCAGATAACGGGTGCGACTCGGCTTGTGCGGCCCAAGTCAGATGGCAGAATCCTTCGGAATCCTTCCAAATGCACGTTTGCCATTATGAGCACCATGGGTAGCCAATATTTAGCTGCTGACATCCGATGGCGTCCCTGTGGAAGAGCCTCCAACTAGCGGCCGGTGCCGGCACAAGGACCAGGTCCTGAGATGTCTTGAACTTTCGCACTGCGGATGGGGCTCGATTTGAGGAAATTGTGCGTGCAGATAACGCTCAGATCCCGTGCTCAAATGACAGGTCAAGCCATGCTGGTTACTTTTCGCATCTTTGTGCTTCTGATTCTCGATGGCCACAGCTAGCGCTCTTGGTGAACGGATCTTAACAGATCTGGGGGTCGAGGCTTTTGATTATTGCTCCTGTGGGCTCGCTTGTTCCTGCTGCGATGCGCTAAGGCTTCGTCGGAACAAAGTCCGAAGAGAGGCTTCAGATTGGTCGTTAGGGTACTGCGTACATTCCCAAGATGACTTTCAGTATTTCTCGCATGTGAGAGTCTGTCTGAGGATTTGTGAAACATTTCCAAAGCTCGCATGGATGCAACCCCAGATATTGCAATATTGGCAATTACCGGAAATATTCATTCGCCACATGTCAGACGGTCGACGCATGCACGTTCCCACTTGCCCATGGCTGGTTGGTTGCCTTGGTGGACCCAGGTATGGAGAGAGAACGCCTTTGCTTGCTACGATGACAAGCTGAGCCTGTCAATTACGGCTCTGATGCCCGAAAATCCACTCTCGCGTAGGAATTCAGCTTTAGTGTTTCAAAATTCCATAGGTTATGCTTCTCTGTTCAGAGTAAGAACGCCTAGTCGACAAAGAAACCCTTCTGAGGGGGAAAAGCTTAGGCGGTGGCGTAAGCCTCATCGGACAAATCTCCGGGGTCAGATTTGAGCGCTTGCGTGCCAAGTGCTTGAGCGTTGGGGTAAGGCTTTACGCGCACGGCGCTTCAATCGAACGGTGAAAAGCGCGCGTCGGTGTCTTGCCGTTGAACCAAAATTCGAGTTCGTTCGGGTACTAGATACTTTGAAACATGTCTCTGCAAAATGGGACTGGAGCGCAAAAAGTCATCGCAAAGGCCGTACTCGCGATCTCTTTGCCTGCTTGGCGATTGACACGACTGACCTCAGCCTTTTACGATCAGTATATATGCTGTGCAATGCATTTTTGAAAAGTCAAACCATTTATACATACCTAAAATCTCTGTCTCGAATATGCATCGCTCAACCGCTTCCATCCTCAGAACAGTCTTTACTGCTACCCTCTTCCAATGCTTTGTCAATGGACAACAGCTTATCGGCAGCATCTTGCACTCTGGAGTTGAGGGTGATGGGATGGTTTTGGTGACCGTGGAGAACAACGGCACGAGCAATTACTCAGTCGAGGCAAGGAACAACCTTTTCGACACGAATTCTCCTTATGAGCCGATGAACGTGTCGAGTCTTGCAGGTACACAAGTCCAGCTCGTCGGTGCCGAGTATCCGTACGGGCTATTGACCGATGCATCCTTCGTCCAATTGCCAGCCGGAGCAATATGGCAACGAGAGCTCAACATTACGGCGTACATGCCTGCGGACATGACCATTACCAAGCCTACCGCATCATGTTATTACGTGACATTCCCCGACGGCTTTTGGGCCATCGACACAACTGGCATGCCATCAGGAGAAAATTTGGCCACGGAATTCCTCACCCCGGGTGCGAGTCGACTCGTAGACTTGTACATCGCCTCGAATATACTGCATCTCAACGTCACCGCGGTACCTGGGAGTGGCGCGACTCTGACTGCTACGACAGCGGCGATCCCTCAACAACCAGCAGCAACCGAGATTGTGGGTTCACAGACGATCGGTATCGCTTCTAGTGAAACGATCGGGACGAGCATTGATCAGTACGACAATATCCTTGGAGGCTGATACATCTCGTCACAATGGGTTGCAATGTTGAAGTACCGGTTCCCAAACCCGAAGGATCTCTTGCACGCACAAAACTCTCATCATGGCAGAGCAGATAGTTAGTGGAGGACAGAATAGTTTGGAACACGGGGGACTAGCATTGCTGCGGAGTACATTTCTCTGCGAAGAACAGGACGTGGCCGTCAACGATGTACATACGCCATTTGTGAATTTGGAGATACCCGATAGAACGCTTGGTTTCAAAGGCTGGCGTATCGGTGTATGTGTTCCAAGAGAGACAGATTTGGGTAACGACACTAGATCTGCATTTGGTGGAAAGGTACATAATGGAAGCTATTCCGGTATCAAAAGTTTGAATAATCTCATTGATAAAACCGCAATCAATGCGATAATCTCGGAGATTGTCAGGCCTGGCCATCGTAAATCATGTTCAACCGAGTGAGTTAGGAGCAGTATGCGCACATGTCAGCGTCCCCGTGGGTGTTGTCAGATCTGGAGTCATCCCCACATCAGGTACCGGCCATGATTGGCTTCTGTGGTCGATTCCGGCCAAGCGTTGCGTCCACTGCCAGTGAATGTGGATCGGGTATCCTGGGTTCAGAACCCGCGAAAAAGCGCGCCGATGGATGAGGTACTCAACTACTCGTCCTTCCGGAAGTGCGAAAGGACGGATTACGTAGTTGACGAAAGCGTTACCGTGTTGCCGTGGTCCTGTAAGTTGCTTGAACGAATGACAGACGGACACTAGCCAACTGTATTTGGTGCGCAAGAATCGAGAACTCTGGGGTAATCATCCCTGCCAGAGGAGTCTTGGCAATCGAAGAACCTCTCTGTACCATGACCTCGGCGTTAGATCCGTGAGCAAGCCTGTCAGAAGGCTCCAGTCCGGCGATCCAAGCGCAGATTGGGGTGTTCTGGCACAGACGGCTTCTTGAGCCGCTTTGGTACATGGTGATCCTGGCCGGTCCAAGCCTCCAGACCCATGTCCGATCCCACAGGCTTACTGGTGGGTTGGTATGCTTGTTATATCGCTTGGCTTTGAGAGTTGCGATCTTCGAGTTTTTGCTGGAGCTACGACGAATGATGAGCGAGGCGCTATCTGGGGGCCAGCTCCCATCCTCCATTGCTGTACAATCCGGGGGAATGCACCCGCATTGATCGTGGTTCTGAAAATCAAACAACTTCAAGAACAGCACTTCCAAAGCTTGTTGTCGTCCAGGAAGTTCGTCTCTTGAGGCTTGGGTTCGAACTTCCTCGTCTGCTGAGTTTGGACTCCTTGGCTCTTGTGCAGCAGAACCGGTTTCCATGTCACGTTGACTTGGTTCTAGGCATGAGAATCATGTACAATCTTAGCCTTATTGCACTACAGATTTGTGCTGGTCTTTACCAACCCAGATTCTCTGGGAGACCGGAGTAGAAAGTGAACTGGCTTTCATCAGCGACACATTTGACATGATGTTGAGCTGAATAGTCTCCAGTTTATGTGAAAGCTCGTTCCACACTCTTGTTTGGGTTTTTTCACGTTTTACTCCCGTGACTAGTTGAGCAGGTCCGTAAACCTCGTATTGATTTATTCGGCAATGTTGGGGCATGGCGACACGAATTCTACGACCTGACAATTGCTGAGACACTGCCCGTGCTGTTCCACTCCAGCTTGTGATGCATGAACCAGAGCCCGGCTACCGTGCTCTGTTTTTCTGGGGAAAACAAGTTCCATCACCGCTGCCACAGTCTTTACCTCGCGTGTCAACATGGAGTGACAAAAATCAGACCTCAGGATTTTGATAATGTGACAGCTGATTGGCAGCTTTTTTTGGTAAGCTTCGCGAATTCGCGAACGTAGTATATGTCGAGAAGCATGGACACCACGTACCTTTTCCGCGGACTTGATCTGCCTACCTGTCTGGCATCTTCGCAGTGCGCTTGCCGTTCAACGCCTTGTAGGTACTGGGGCTGTTTCTTCCTGGGAAATTTGTCCAGGCAAATTCTTCCGAGCTCACAATGGACAAACGAGGCGCACCGTTAGAATACTTGGCGACATCATGTAGTTTCGTTGAGTTCGTAATCAGTGCTAACGGCACAACGTTGACCGCTATAGTGATTTCGTTGCCCTCCATTCCGGCATAGTCCATGGTCAACAGGCTAGCATCCCTCAACACAGCGTCGAGTCGCTTCAGGCCTGGTTTCAATATGCCAAAGTCCTGATGAACTCGTGACTAGCAAGGTCAAGCTGCCACGTCCCCGCCACGCGTTTTCGATCCTTCGTGTCTTTGATGGACTCCATGGCAGCTTCGCCCTAACCAAATCTTTCACTGCTAGTATGACCTTAGTTGCGTCGAGCCGTGCGGAAAGACTGGCTGCTTCAGAGCCTAGACCTCCTCATCTGCTCTGTCATTGCACAAGCCTCCGCCTTCACTGTTTTGGCGAAGCGTTTATTGGCTCCAGTGACAATGATCATCTGCTGGAATCACTTCGTACTGGGTACGACAGTATAGCGAACAATTGATGGGATTGAAAGTTATACATGTGGGACATCATGATACCTAGCCTACTTGAGTGACTGGGAATGGGGCATATAAACAAAGTATGAGTGAAGGAAGGCGCTGACTGGTGGGTTAAAATATGTGCTGGGGCGTGTCCTTCCCAGGATTACCAAGTACTCGAAGTGGTCAAAACAAGTGACGGATTTCGGGGTTTCCACCAAAACTAAAATTTTTTTTTTTTATATTATTATATTTAAAAAAAAAAAAAACTATTTTTTTTTTTTTTTTTTTTTTTTTTTTTTAAAAATATATTTTTTTTTTTTTTTTTTTTATTAATATTTAAAAAAAAAAAAAAAAAAAAAAAAAAAAAAAAAAAAAAAAAAAAATCGTTAAATTTAGCGCGTAAAAATTATTTTAACTTAATACGCTCTCTTACTTAATCTATTATATAATTAAATAAGTTTTTAATAATATTATAAATAGATAGAATTAATCTTTAAATTTAAAATAACTTATATAAGAAATCTTATATACGTGAAATTCTTAATTATAGTTGAAACTACTATATAAAATATCTCGATTTAGATACGAAACGCGAAATTCGTTATTTATTTTAATCGGTTCTAGCACTAGTTTTTAACTATTTTTAATTCTTAAAGAGATTCTCTAAAATTTCTTAAACCCTTCGAAGGCTCTTTAAAGACTCTTTGAGAGTTTCTATCGAGGGGCTATTAAAGTAAGCTTAAAATTTAATTATTTTAGTAATATTTAATTGATTTTAAGCTTGCTTTGATAGTTTCTCGATAGAAGCTCTCGAATCTTAAAGAGCTTCGAAGGATTTAAGGAATTTTAGAAGATCTAACTCTAGAAATTAAGAGAGATATTATATTTTATTTAATATACTTAATATTACGAGCGTATTCTTAATATATTACTTAGCTCTATAACTAGCGAGTCTTAACGAAGATATCTTTTATTATATTATATCTTCTTCTTATCTATATAATTCGATAGTCTTATTATTCTAATTCTATCTTATTTATACTAGTATTATATCTATATTAATTCTAATATTATAAATAAACTTACTTTATTATTATATTTTTAATTAAAAAAAAATTAAAAAAGATAGATTTAAGAAATTTAAAGTTCTTTCTTAACTTTCTCTTTTAAATATACTCGCGTATATCTATATTTAGATCGAAAATAAAGAAATAAGATATATTTTAAATTAGAAATAATGAAATTCGATAATCTAATTAGTTACTAGCCTCTTAACGTAATATCTATTCTTATTTTTAAATCTTAAGTTTTAGTAGTTTAAAAAATTATAATTAGATTTAAATTAGACTATATAATCTAATTTAAATCTAATTATAATTTTTAATTTAAAAAATTAAAAAATTATAATTATAATTTTTTAATTTAAAAAATTAGATTTAATTTAATTATTTAGATAGAATATTAAAAAACTTTAATTTTTATAGAGATTTTAAAAAAATTAGAGAAAATTCTTAGAAAAATATTATTTTTATAGATTTATAATTCTATTCTAAATTATATAGATATATTATATTATATTATATTTATTTAAAGATAATAATAAGTTATAATTAAAGTTAACTATATATTTCTCTCTCTAAAAATACTACTTAAGAATTTAATTTAGAAAAAAGTTAAAAAAATTAAAAAAGCTATATTTTTAAAAAGTGTAATTTATATTATATAGTACTATATATAGAGATATATATTAAGTTTTCGAGTAATTTACTCGATAGACGAATTTTTATTTTTAAATAAATTATCGATATCTTTAATAACGTTTTAACTCTTTAATAATATAATTTATTTAAATATATTCGAAGCTAGTCTATTATATCTATCTATAATAATATTATTTTCTATTAAAAAATTTAACTTAAAAGATTTAAAAGTAATAGAAATAGCGAGATAAATTCGAGCTAATTAAGTTAGAATCGAAGAATATTTAATTTAATTTCTTTAATAATCGAGTAGCTTAATCTATAATATATAAATTAATATATATTAAAATTATAAATAAATTTATAAATAACTTATCTTTTTAGACTTAAGATTTTTTTCGAAATAAATTTTAATTTTAAACTTTTTAACTTCGATATATTAAGATATATTAAGATTATCGAATATCTTATTATTCGAATTTTCTAAACTCGAATTCGTATATAAATATTAAGAATCGTCTAATTATAATATGAAATTCTCGTTATTTATTTTAATTTTAATTCTATTAAAAAAATTGTTAATAAAAAGCCTTATAAAAATTCTATAAAGAAATTTACTTATCTTTCGAATAATTCTTTAAACTCGTTAATAACGTTTTAACTCTCTTAATTTGAAAGGCCTTAGCTTAAAAAATATTTATCTTTAAAATAAGAATTAAGAATAATTCTAAAAAAGATATTTTAATAAATAGATTTCCACTTATTAATATTAAACTTTAAAAATTATTTATTAAGTTTTTAAATATCTTATAGATAGATATTTTAAAGAATTAAATTCTATAATATTAGTTAGTAATATATTTCTAAATTAAAAAAACGAAAATATAAAAAAACTTATTAGATTTATATCTCGATATCTTTTATCTAACTTCTTTTAAATAGAATATATATATGAATATACGTATTCGATTATCGAATAACTAGAGCTCTAAAGAATAACGAAAAATTTAATAAAAATTTAAAAGATTTCGAATATTTATTATATATATTCGAGTTCGTTATCTCTAAAAATAAATTATTCTTTATTCGAAATCTTTTATAATACTTTAATTAACGTCTTAATAGTTAATTAATTATTAAGAAATTCTCTAAATAAATCGTATATTGAATTTTAACGAATATCTTTATCTATTATAATTATTAATAAAAGATTTTTAATAAAGAGAGAAATCTATTAATTTTTAGAGGGTGTAAATCTTTAATATTATAAGACTCAATTTGTTATTCGAGTATATATCGATTTTCTAATTAATATTTAAATATTATAATAAGAAGTTAAATTTTTCGAAATAAGTGTAGATCTAAAAATTTAATTAATAGAAATTTAGATAAAAAAAGATAAAAAAAAACTTATCTAAAGATAGCTAAGGCTTCTTACTATCTATCTCGAGATTTTATTAATTTATAAGATTATAAATTATTTAATTATCTTTAATTTTTAAAAGTAGTTAATTTAATATATCGTTAACTACGTTATTAAATATATAGATTATATATTTAATATTATAAATATCTTCGTTATATTAATATTTATAATTAATTTAAAAGATTTAAGCGAGAGATAGATTTATAGCAACTTTATTCGTTATAAATCTAATAAGAAATTAATTAAAAAATCGAAAAATCGAAAAATCGAAAAATATATAATAATTTAAAAAAATTTCAAAAAAATAAATACGTATAATTATATCTTATCTTCGATATCGAAAGATTTTAGAATATAATTTAAAACCCTCTCGAGATACTTAGTACTATAAGGTTTTTCGAGTAATTTTATATTAATAAGTCTAGAACTTAATTTCTAGTCCTTATTAATATAGTAAATTATAATTTCTATAAACTTCTTTTAATTATTAACTATTTAATAATTAAATATAAGTGAGAATTTCGATTTGAATTTAGAGTGTATATCGAAGAATTCGAATTTAACGATTTAAAAATTTTAAGTAAAGAGAATCGATAACTCGTTTTAAAGAGTTTAATAGTAAATCTTAGAAGTATTACTATATAAAAGATAAGTATTTTAAGTATAATAATATATAAAAAATATAAAAACTTACTTTTAGTAATAAAAAATTATTTCTTTAGAGGATTTCGAACGTAGAGCGTTAAAGATTATATTATTTTCGAGAAAAAAATAAAGTACTTTCTCTTTAGAATCTAAACTTATAAATTACTTATTTAAAGTATTTTTAGATAATTATTTAGTTAATCGATTATATTAAGTAAATTAATCGAGCGAGATTTATAATTAACTTACTTCGAGAACTATTTTTAGAAATAAAAGTTAATAAAAATATAGAGAAAAATATAAAAGATAAAGTAAAGATAAATAAATACCTTCTAATAGAGCTCCTTTTTTAAATTCTTTCTTGATTAAAATTATAGAATAATTGTTATAATAGTATATAAAGTAATTACTATAGCGTTTTTAATCGATCTTTTCGATTTTCGAATAGCGATAACGAGTATATTTAATTCGTTTTTAAAAAAAGTTAATAATAGATAAAATATATATAATAGTATATAAATATTTAACGAGGATTTTCTTCTTAATATAAAAGAAGTTCTTATATGAAAAAGTTATATTAAAAGAGATATTCTTACTTTTTAATAGAAGATAACTAAAAATCGATTCTATACTTCGAGAAGATTATTATATTAACGAAAATGATATAAATATTAATCTTAAATTTTAGCTATATATATAGCTAAAATCTAAGGTAAAAATAATGACTTCGAAAATTAGTTAAAAATGTGTAGAAAGAGAGAAAAAATAGAAGAACTAGAGCTCTTATATAGGCTTCGCAGTCGATATTAATATCATATATTACTAAAAATAGAACTCTAAATATTTCGATTTATTTTATAAAATTTAGCTTTAAA